TTTTGGAGGATTTGGGCTTCTGAGCGGCCAAAACGGACCACCAGGGAGAGAGCAAGGAGCACAGCCAAGGAGACCAAGCTGGCGAGGTCCGTTTTGGAGGATTTGGGCCGCTCAGCGGACAAAACGGACCACCAGCAGGAGAGCAAGGCGCACAGCCAAGCAGACCAAGCTGGCAAGGTCCGTTTTGAAGGATTTGGGCTGCTGAGCGGCCAAAACGGGCCACCAGAGGGAGAGCAAGGAGCACAGCCAACCTGACCAAGCTGGCGAGGTCCGCTTTGGAGCATTTAGCGGCCAAAACAGCCAAGCAGACCAAGCTGGCGAGGTCCGTTTTGAAGGATTTGGGCTGCTGAGCGGCCAAAACGGGCCACCAGAGGGAGAGCAAGGAGCACAGCCAACCTGACCAAGCTGGCGAGGTCCGTTTTGGAGGATTTGGGCTGCTGAGCGGCCAAAACGGACCACCAGAGGGAGAGCAAGGAGCACAGCCAAGCGGACCGAGCTGGCGAGGTCCATTTTGGAGGATTTGGGTTGCTGAGCGGCCAAAACGGACCACCAGGGAGAGAAAGGGACAGAGACCCACCGCCAGCTCTCGTATGATGAGGTTGTCGTGCCTGTGTGTGTAGAGGAACATGGACGTTATAATGCGTGGAAGAGCTGGGGAGGTCCGTTTTGAAGGATTTGGGCCGCTAAGAGGCCAAAACGGACCACACGACAGAGCAAGGAGCGCAGGCGAGCAGACGAAGAGTGGAAGCTGGGGCGGTCCGTTTTGGAGGATTTGGGCCGCTCAGCGGACAAAACGGAGTACCAGAAAGAGAAAGGAGCACAGAAGCACAGCCACAGGAGAAAGGAGGACACAAAACAAAAGAACAGCTGGGCAAGCCCGCTTTGAAGCATTTCGGCGGCTCTCTTACCAAGGCGGGCCACCAGACACAGCAAGGAGCACCGCCAAGCAAACCAGGACTGGGAGAGCTGGGGAAGTCCGTTTTGACGGATTTGGGCCGCTGAGCGGCCAAAACGGACAGCCAGAAAGAGCAAGGAGCACAGCTAAGCAGATGAAGAGCAGACGAGCTAGGAAGGTCCGTTTTGATGGACTTGGGCAGCTGAGCGGGCCAAACGGACCACCAGACAGAGAAGGAGCACAGAATCAGAGTCACGGGAAAAAGGAGCAGAACAACTAGGCAAGCCCGCTTTGGGACAACCAAAGAAAGGCAAAGTCGATGTCCCCAAGCCCAACACGCGCCACACAAGGAGACCATCGATGGCACAAAGTGCCACGCCTGCCACGCAACACCCCACCTCGCGTCACAACGGAGGGACCGCGTCACAGTTGAGGAAACGCGTCCGCGTCACAGATGAGGAAGATTTCCGTGTCACACACGAGGGGCTTTCCCATACATACATACATACATACATACATACATACATACATACATACATACATACATACATACATACATACATTATATATCAATAGACCACGGGGAGTTGTTTTTTCAAAATCTCAATCTACTCTGGTTGGTGGTTTTAACCATCTTGAAAAGTATGAAAGTCAATGGGAAGGATTATCCCATATATTGTGGAAAATACAAATCATGTTTGACACCACCAACCAGTTACTGTATATATCATTTGATATTGACTGATTTGATCGATGCTTTCCCCCGTTGGTCCTGAGAATGGCGGCGCCGTACACGAAGCACGTCTCCTTGTAGCGCTCGTAAGCCTTGGCCTTGGACTCCGATGATTGATGTGGTAAGATGTGATGGTCAAACGTTAACAAACAATCACTGGATTATTTTGTTTGGGAAAATCTTAATCGGAAACCAGAAAACCGTGAAATATGATGGGTTCCTGCAAGTTTTAGTGAAACAAGGTATTTTGCTGCACATTTTTTCTGCAAATAGGATCAGATAGGTGTTTGAATGGGCACATCACTCTTAAATGGTGATTTTGATCGGGAAAACCATCTTTAAATGGCAGATTGAAATCGACCACAGCATCCATTGTACTGGCATGTTCACCCTAGCACCAAAGGATCTGGAGAAACAGAAAGCCTGCACGAAAGGATCTGGACAAACAGAAAGCCAAACTTTGCAAGTCAGAAGAACCATTGCTTTGCAGGATACCAAGTATACAAAGATACCCAAATGCTCCATGTATGGAATATTTACCTACATTTACCCCAAAAATGACCCAGTTTTGTAGGTAGATATTCCAGCACCATGGTTCACATCTGGGATATGTGTGATACAACCAATGGCAGCATCCCCATAAAAAAAATCTCCAGCTCCTCATTTTTGGAACCTTGAGGCCCACTATGTGAAAATCGGATGTGGAAACAATAGCAATGTTCCTCGAAGGAATCATACAATGTTTTTGGCCTCCTGGATAGCTAAGTTTATTTATAACTTCACTTTCACTATGGTTTATGATACGCAAGTAACGAACTAGTTTTAATGGAGTATAAAAACCAACGTTCGCATCACTGGGGGGCCCCACATTGTACAATCATTCATTTTCCACCCTTGATTTTCAGATCAACCGACTGATCCATTTGACTGGGTCGCCCGAGCCAAAGACGCGGCCTCACAAGTGGTCCCCGAGAATAGTCGATGGCCAGGGGATAATTTTTATCGCTGGATGATGGATGAAAACTGGGGGTGCCCTTATTTCAGGAAACCTCCATATCTATAGATAATGGGTTTTCAAAACTAACTGACATAACTGAGAAAAAAACACCTGGTATACTGTACGTCCTGTCTCTGTTTAACACAACTGGAGTGAGATTCGAAGTTCAACATCCCAATGACCCAAAGGTCAATGGCAATGGAACATGGCCTACAAAAGCAAGCACCAAGAAATGGTGGTTGTATAATATTTAATTATATATAATCTGGTTGGTGGTATACCTACCCCTCTGAAAAATGATGGAGTGAAAGTCAGTTGGGATGATTAATCCATTCCCAACTGAATGGAAAGTCATTAAACAAAATGTTCCAAACCACCAACCAGTGTTTGCTGGTTTATAAACCATTACAATCCCCAATTGGAACTAGTTAGTGAAATATCTACCATAAACCATATAGTTAATTCATCTTCCAGTATCTTCCAGTCACCATTCATCTACATTAATATCCCAAGGTTTGGTTCAAGGGGACCCCCGATCAATATCCCCTGGACAATCCTTAGCGGGACGACCCGCGGGCAATACTTTTGCCTTTGCCTTCGTGCAGCGCTGAACTGGTTAGCCCTGGCGCTCGCACATCGCAACGTGCTCTGTTAGTCTAGCCAACTAACACCACCTGTTCCTTGCACGGCTTCGTGATCTTGCTCATCATTGTCCTCTTGCACTTCAGCGAGATTCAGGACTTTGACACTGGCAAGACTGGTGTATGTGCTTCTTCTTCCTGGCCTTTGCCTTCGTGATCCTTCTGAACTATTACTCCTACGTTGCGGCGTCGACTCAGGAGACAGCGTGCGGCTGCTCGTCAAGCTTGGCATTTACACCGATCTGGTGCTGCCCCGCTGTCGAAACAGCAACTACACACAGTTCTCTTGACTTTGAGGAGTCACCACTCTGGCGACAGAAGCTTTTTGCGCAAAATCAAGCTCGCGATGGCTACCACACCTTGGTACTGCGAGTGGTGTCGCAAGACAGTGAAAGGATCTTTTTCCAACTGCCCTTGGTGTGGGACACATTGGCAGAATGCTATGCCCCAATCTCCAAGACGCAGGCAACCAAAGCCACCATCCCGTTCGCCTCGTCGCAAAGGTCAAACTGGTTGGACTTATGGCAATCAGGAGGAGATTTCCGATGGGCCATGGCATTATCAGGGAAGTACGAAGTCACCAAGAAGGAACACTTACAAATCGCCGGCAAGACCGACCAAGCAAAGCAAGCCCAAGCAGAATCCTGGACGTCGAGTACCTCCTGCCGAACCTCAGTGGGAGCCAGATCGACCCAGCAAAGACGAATCGACAGCTTCCTCAACTACGGTCTCCGCAGCCGAAATGCACCTGAAAGAAATATTGAATGCAGTGTCTCAGATGGACCAACCGCTCACCGCAGACGTGCAGAAGGCCATCTCCAATGCGCAGAAACTTGCAGCCATCGATCCAGCCAAGCAATTGCAGAGTGCAGCATCACGTCTTCGATCCGCACGAGAACAATTGGCCAAGGCACGTGCAGCTCGTCAAAACATGCACGAGTCCTGGGCCAAGTTCATCTCGGAGGCCGTCGTGCGTTGGAACAAACACATCGAGGACTTCGAGGCCAAAGATGCCGAGCATTTGACAGCCATTCAGACGGTCATGGAGAAATATCAAAGTGCCAAAAACGAGGTGGAAGCTTCCAAGGAAGCGGTGGCTGCCTCGGACCTCACGACAGAGGACAGCATCGAAGTCAACGACGACGGGCTGATGGCCGACAACACTCCTGGTATCCAGGACGACTTGCGTTCCATGGTCAATACCCTCGAACGCATTCGCGAACGCCAATCCGAACTGACCGACGACAAGCTTGCCAAGAAGCCTCGCATCGAGAAATCGGACGAGAAGGACGTGGAGATCATTGGCAGCCAAAGCATGCAGCCTTTTGGCAAGGGGGGCAAACAGACTTGACAGAGGTTTGTCCACCCCTTCCATGCAATGATGCAGCTTACTGCACTTGGCAGTGGACGCATTCGATTTTGATGGAGGACAATTTCATGAACCCGTGGAGAGCTTGTGAACATGCAGTTGATCAATGCATCGAGGCGATAGGCTTTGATGACTGTTCCCGGATGTTGGATGGGTCCAACAACCACTTTGATCGTCATGCACGAGCTCAACCACGGCACCCAGATCTCAAAGTTTCGTTTTCCAACTTGATTGAAGTGATCATCGGTGGTGTTGATGATTCTTTTTCATCTTGTACTCTTTCCTGTGATGATTTGCGCTTTTGGAGTGACAAACCATGGAATCTCCGCATTGAGCCCTCTTCCATTGTGGAGCCGCTGTCAGAAATGGCCGTGTCGAGCCCAATGGATATTGAATGCTCTTTACGTGATTGTGGCTTCACATGCAGTTCCCTAGCGCACTCCTCTCAAACAGATGGACAAGTACGAGAAGTTCCTCCCTCATTTCTTGACCATCTACCTGAACCAACTGATTTTGCCATCTATGACCGGCAATCATCATGGCTTCTTCAACTCCGTAGCGTTTGGCGTGAGCACGCTACACGAGAACATGCAGGTGAAGGACGTACTTTGCCGGTCAAGACATGGTATTTGCACCACGATGATGTCCCTCGATGCAGCAATCCCAGAACGGCGCAACTTGACTACATGGATCACCTATGGTTAGGAGATATGCGAGCTGAATGGGCACATATGATTCGAGATGGTGAACCGTTGCACCTCACCTTTGTTGTTCCTACTCCTCCACGGGCAGATGATCAACCATTCGCACCACATGTCATCCTTTCTCAAGGTCACCGCATTGATCGAGCTGGCACTGTTATGACTGCCCGATTTATTGAAAATCACCGCACTCAGCTTTTGCAAGAGGCAGTTTCAGCACCAGCTTGGATGTGTGGGTCCAGAGCCATTGATCTGCTTCGAATTGCGCATTTGACGCAGGATCGAAGGTGGATCGCAAGAAGTGGGATCATGATGTTTGCTGTTGATGAACTTGAACAAATTCCTGACGGCATTGCCATTGACATTGACATTCGTGTGCCGCTGCCGGAGGAGGACATTGTGTCATTTGCTGCTTGGACTCGACGCAACTATCCTCCGGATCAGCCAATCTTTGAATTACCCCAAGCAGTTCAAAATCACGAACATGGACAGCAACCTGAGCAGGATGATGATGAATCCAGTTCAAGCGCTGATGAAGCGGCAGACATTGGTCAGGATTGGAGATTCACACACGTGTTTCGTACACGGCGGCGTGTCTTTCATGGATATTTGCCTTGGGATGATGCTTTCACATTTCAGCAGCGTGTTTCAGCCCTAACCAACGTTGATGAAGATGACATCACCTTTTGTCATCACGTGGAACATCGTCCAGCAGATTTACAAGCAGCTCATACTGAAGTTTTGCTCATGCAAACAGTCAGTGACTTGCCGATCGGCTCGGTGCATCGACTTGTCCTCGTTGACATTGAGTTTCACGAACATTGGCCTTCCACAGACCATTCTACCTCTAGGAGATGTCTGTCACTGCCTCATCAAGTTCATCGTCGTACTCTGCTCCGTCTCCTTGGGCTTGAGACATATTGCGAAAAGGAAAGATCCAAATGTTTGATGTGGCGCAATCACCAGATTATCAAACTGCAGCGCCACGGAACATTCTTCCTTGAGCACGGCGATTACTTGAGACTCGCAGTGCCTCCAGAACCGAATGCTGCCTTGACTGTTTCCACCCGGTCATGTGTTAGCCAATCACGACACCAACGAGGACAGAAACGACTTCGACATCATGCTCGACCACGTAGTCCTCAACACGAAGATGGCATGACTGAAGCTGACGATTACGAGCGCAGGGCGTATCCACAACATCCTGATGAAGACGTCTCAACTTTTGTCCAACAGCCGCTGTCATTTGGTACGCATCGTCCTTTGCCGTCAGATCAAATGTTGATGTCCGAAGTTGCTCAACTGTGCTCATCTCAAATGGTACTTTGTCCTGTTCCTCATGGCGCAGTTGCTTCGTCAACATCCTCATCAGTACAGCACCCTACGGGCACCTGGCACTCATATCAGACAGCACCGCCAGATGCTCTTGCCTCTTTTACAGGGCACTTGCATTCGTTTCTTTCTCGATCGAATGGGATGCAACCTGCTACCCTGGAGGCTGGCATTTATTTGGAAGTTTGGTTCAGTGACCATTTACGGCGCCCACACAGCGGCATCGGGCGACTTGTGTTGCTGCCGCAGGACAGCATTGATTGGATGACTGCGATTATCGCCGCATGGGATGACCTTCTTGATCCAACTTTGCCATGGAGCTGTCATATTGTTGAGACACATGTTGGAGCAGGAGATCCTGATGCAGCAGCACAGTTGATCATTGTGCAAAATCCTCAACCTGACCATGTTTCCGTTTTGGCCACAGTATACGGAGGCGAAGTTTGTGCAGACGATGCAGTTTTGATGTGTTACACACTTCCCTGCTCTCAGCCGCATCAGCATTTGATGCTTCTCCTTGCACAAGGTCTTCACCGTGGGCAACAACCAAATGGACTGCGTACTTGGTGGCGCGACCGTGACATAACGGACATCCCCCAGGTTGAACTTCAGCATGGTGCTGCATTGACAGTGTGTGCACAGACCTCATCATCAGCTCATTATGACGGAGAGAACACGAATGCAGCATGTGATGATGCCACCTCAATGCTACAGCATCACCTTACAACCCGTACACAGATTCAGCTGGAACGACTTGTCCCGGTCCCTGCACCACCCGTTTGGGTTGAAATTGATTGTCAACGTCTTGACTTTCTGCGCAATCAATTGCGTAGTTTTCCACCCATTCAGCCCATGTTTGACCGAGCATTTTGTGATTGGCATTCATCCACCTCAGAAGCATTTGGTGATATCCGTGACTGGTCAGATGACATACCAGAGGGCTTCACATTCTACACTGATGGCTCGTCTCACAGAGGTTCTGGTCAGGCTGCTGCAGCAGTCGTCCTTATTGTGACTACGGCAGATGGACCCAGATGGGGTGGTTTCGCAACAACTTCTTGCCTTGGATCGCCCTCAGCACCACGTGCTGAAGCCACAGCCCTGATGCTGGCTATTCGATGGTGTATTCAGCTATCTGCCGAGTACAAGGGTATGAAGCCTTGGTATGAGTTTGCGTTTGATTGTCAACACGTTGCAGGGATTGCTCAAGGACGCCAAGGTGGTGATCACAATGCCAATGAGAGCCTTATTGCATTGGATTGAGTCTGATTTATCAGCGGCCCTCACCTGGACGCATCTTCGAAGTCATCAAGGCCATCCATGGAATGAAGCCGCTGATGCTCTTTGCAAACACACGCTGAATCATGCAGCAACAGTGCTTGACCTTGCTGAATTTCATCAACAATGCACCTTTGACGGCACTGACTTGTACATGATCCAATGGCTATGGCTCTTTGAACGTTCTCTTCAAGGATGTCCTGATGCTCCTCCGTTGGTCAACCTTCGATGGCGTTTGGACATTGCCCAACCATTGATGAGCGAGCCTCATGCAGCAATCCATCCTGCTATGAAGCGTCGTGATCTACAACCTGATGGACCCCGTGAAATGGTGCACTTGAACCTTCATGTTGGTACAGCGAATGTCCTCACGCTTTACCCAGAGCAAGATTATGCTTCACAATACATGAGCGCTCGTGCTGAAAGTCTTGCACGTCAATTCCATGATTGCAATTTGCAGATCATTGGTCTTCAAGAGACTAGGTCGCGTTTGGATGGGCACACCATGTTAGACAACTTTCATGTACTTTCCGCGCCTGCTCAGAAACGTGGTCATGGAGGCGTCCAACTTTGGGTCAAGAGGACTTTACATGATGATCAACTCCGTCTTGATATTGAACAGAGTCATTTGTTCATCTTGCACGCAAGCTCTCGTCGTCTTGTCGTACGACTTGCCTGCGGTGGGCTTCGTTTGCTTTTGATTGTGCTACACGCACCCACAGATGACGACGAAGCGACCCTCAGCAAATTTTGGACGGCTACTTCAGCCGCTATACCGCAGGCTTACCTCAGTTGGAAGTGCATTGTGCTTGCGGATGCCAATAGTCGCCTTGGCTCATCAAACACAGAGGCGGTCGGCGATTATCAGGCAACCACTGAGAATGAAAAGGGACTACACTTTCATCGTTGGTTGTTGGCACGATCTCTCTTCTTGCCTCAGACATTTGCTGAACATCATCATGGAGAAGGAATGACCTGGACACACCCAACAGGCACTAAAGCCAGGCTCGACTACGTTGCGTGCTCCGAAGCTTTGCGCTCAGCTCAGTTGTCTACCTGGATTGACGAGCGAATTGATTTATCACTACGTCGTGAGGATCATGCCTGTGTACGAGCCCTTGTGCCCATCGACTTTCATCATGTGGCATTGCCGCGGAAACGACCGCCTTTTACAGTGACCGAAGTGGCGCCATATCCTACCTGGGCGACTGATGTCCACACTCATGCAGCAGTGCTACAAAGTCTTTGGCAACAACCCACTCAGTCCAACAAGGTCATGCGCAAAAAGCACCTTTCTGCAGACACTATCAAACTGATTGCTGCTAAACGATTTCATCGACATCAACTGGGCAAGATCAGACGACACCGGAGACAGGCAGTTCTGCGGCAAGTTTTTGACAGTTGGCGCAGTCAGCATCCATGTGAAGTCCAGTTCCAACCTTGGTTACGACATTGTGACCGACTTGAAGCAGTTCATGGAGCACATTTTGCCGACCTCTCCCCACGTGTCGTGATTGCAGTCAGACAGGACGACATGGACTTTTACGAGTCCTTGGCCGCCCAAGCTGGCTCTGAGTCCTTTTGTGGCTCACGGCGGCTTTGGGCTGCTATTCGTCACGCAATCTTCTTGAGGCAGGAGAGACCACAACCTATCCGGACCTCCTGCACGAATGCTGGCGCAACCAACAGCACAACATGTATGATGCTCCGCTTGAAGTTCCTCTTCGTGATCTTCCTACGAGAGCAGCCATAGAGAACCATTGCGCCAGGCTGAAGATTCAGAAAGCTCCAGGTCTCGACCAGATTTCTCCTGAGACGCTTCGCCAGCATGGTGTTGACAACGCTCCAGCTTTGACACAACTGCTGATGAAGATCTGGCTGACAGGAGCAGAACCAGTGCAGTTCAAAGGCGGACTCATCCACACCATCAGCAAAAAGCAGAAGAGCAATCGGATCGCTGACATGAGGGGAATCGCACTTCTCGACGGCATTGCAAAGCTCTCACACGCTATGTTGAGACAGCAATATATTCCTCATTTGTCATTGCGGAGTGCTCCTCTACAACTTGGCGGCTTTGCACATCAGTCCACTCTTTTCGCGACACAATACCTGCGAGCCTGCGCACATCATGCATCCAACAAACACTTGTCATCATGTGTGTTGTTTCTGGACATCAAGAGCGCATTTCACTCGCTGATACGTGAAATTGTGTTTGACATGGGCACCGCTTTGCCACAGAGATTACAAACTGTGCTTGAACAAGCAGGGTGCTCTATTCCTGAGATCCAGCAACGATGTGATGGCAGATCCAAACTGCATGGTGTTCCCCTGACTACCGCTCGACTTTTGAGTGAGGCCCACCGATACACTTGGTTCACAAATGCTGCCCCACATACAGGATGCATGGCGTGTCATGGGCTTGAGTATGCCTGTGGTAGCATGGATCGACGATTTGGCGATCCCGGTGGTGACCACTACAGCCAACACTCTTGTTGAGACCGTTCAGGAAATTCTGGAGGAGGTGGTCCGCATTGGCAAGACTTTTGGGCTCATCCTCAACATGCATGCCAAGAAGACGGAAGCGGTGATTGCCTTTAGAGGTGACGGTGCACAAGCCCAACGGCAACTTTGGTTTGGTGAACGTCAAGGTGCCATTCATGTGCTCAACATGGAGCAGGTGCTACGCTGTGTTCCACGCTACGAACATCTTGGCACCATGTTTTCAGCGGATGGGACAATCGCAGCTGAGCTTCATCACCGCCTCACCAAAGCAATTGCAGCTCACCATCAGGTGCGCAGACCAATACTGGCCAACAAACACATTGCCAGCGGCACAAGACTCAAACTACTTGAAGGACTTGTCGCTCCGGTGCTTTTCTACGGCGCTGGAAGCTGGCCACTGTTAAGCCATCGCCAAATCACCCGGATTCACGGGCAGTACATGAAATGGATTCGATCCATCATCGCCAACGGTTGCTGGACGTCGGATATGTTGTCCGACCAACAAGTGCTTCTTCTTTGGCGTCTCCCTTCTGTTTCTCTTCGTTTGGCGAAAATGCGTTTGCTTCACGCATTCCATTTCATCAATGATTGCCCGCACGCGATTGTCGATGTTGTCACGGCAACTGAAAAGCATCAGGCATCATGGATTCCAGCCTTGCGACATGCTCTATGCTGGCTTCAAACCATGGACCCTGCTCTTTTTGGATGGGACCCACGCAATGCTCCGCTACCAGACCTCTTTGAATGGCTGTCTACACATCGAGCAGATGGTCCTCGTTTGGTTCGACGGCTTTACTATCGGGCGCTACAGCAAGGCTTTGTGATTGGCAGAGTGGTTCAGGCACATTGGAAATTGAAAGCATGTTTGCAACAGTCACCTTCATCTTCCTTGCCTCCCTCGCAGACTGACGTCCTGATTTCAACCTTTGTTTGTCGACGATGCGCAAGCAAGTTTGGTACACTCCATCAGTTGCAAGTGCATCTCTGGCTTGCACATGAAGAGATTTCCGAGGAGCGTAGCATGATGACCTCTACGACTTGCAATGCGTGCAATGTTTGCTTTTGGAGCTCGCAGCGCCTTCAACAGCACCTTAGACATAGTCGTCGACACGTCAATGGATGCTACGAGAAATGAACTTGGAGAAGTGCACCATCACTCACTGCGCCCGACATTGACGAGATGCCCACGCAGGAGAGATTTCATCGCCAGCCGGCGATGCGGGTGGCTTCTGTCCATCTTCACGAGAAGTTCAGCTTTGTTCTAGGGAAGCAGCAGATCAAGTTTGGCAGATGCGTTGGAGAGAAGAAGGCTTGCCTGTGAACATTGAGACGGACTGGACCAGACAGCTCTTCAAGCAATTTGATGACGTTTTGTTTACCCAATCAGAGATGCGAGCCGAAGCTGTCAACGATGTCATCTTTCGGCTCACTGGTTTGGCGTCTCACTTTGCTCATGAGGTTGCACCGGCGCCGATAGGCGAATGGGCACTATGTGTATGGATCCTCGACCATGTGAAAAGGGACAGATTTTGGAACGTGAACTTGGATCTCTTCTTGCACATTGACAAAGCCTTGAGAGAGTTGCTTCTTGAATCCCACATTGGTCAACTGATTTGCTGGCGGCGACGCATGGATGAGGCCTACCAGCCGATCACGGCCGATGACAAGGTGAATAGGCATTCACGATGTGAGCTCGAACCTATTCCTGACCCATGCAGTTTGCAGATGCGTCTCCTTTTGCCTGTGTTTGAGGATAAGGTTTGTTTTACCCCTTCCATTAAGGTTCCTCTTATTTTGTTTGAGGGTCGACCTACTATTCTCATCATCCACCTCTTTAGTGGACGCAGACGAGTTGGAGATTGCCACTGGTGGTTGGAGCATTTGAGTGCCAAGCTCCTGCCAGAATACCCAGTGAAGATGATTGCCGTCGACACGGCGATTGACCCAGTGTTTGGTGATTTGTCCTCAGGTGCAAACTATGACCTTATTCTGGGTATGGCAAAAGGCGGTGCCATCGCGGCATCGTTAACAGGCCCACCACTAAGACCACAAAAAGCAGATATTTGCACTTCAGGCACTTAATGAACTTATAAGTATACTATAAGTTACTATTATCCTCCTAATATCTTGTTTAAATATGAGATCTGAAAATATGTTCTTTTAAGTTCCTCTAATTTTTTAGGTGAACTTATAACATAATAATGAAGATATAAGCAAATATAGGCGGTTATTATTTGCAAGTAAGTTAAACGAAGCGAAAATAAGTGAAAAGAAGTGAAATAAGAGAAAATAAGGATGTTTTCTTTTTTTCGGCATTTTTCATGGATGATTTACAGGAATGTAGATGTGATCGGATACTGCCTGGAAAGAGTTTCTTTTGTAGGGAACAGTTCTCTGCAGGATACTACCTGGAAAGATTTATTTCTTTAGGGAACAGTTCTCTCAAGGGTACTGCCTGTTTTTTTTATTTTTCTGGTAGGGAACAGTTCTCTGCCGGTTACTGCCTGGAAAAATATTTTCTTATAGGGAACTATTCTCTGAAAAATACTGCCATATTTTTTTTTTTGTGGTATAGTTCCTCCCAAGAAAAAAATGTTTTGTGTTAAGAACATTTCCTGTGAAGGATCGTTTTTGGAAATGTCATGAAGTTTTAAAAGAATAGATAAAGTTCTGGAGTGCATGCTTCCTGGATATGAAACAATGTCAGGCTAAAAATTTCTCTCAACAACCTTTCTTGCACAGAAGAAGCAAAGAAGCTTAGAGTTGCAGCTGCAGAAAAAAATGCAAGAATGAATCAAACTGTTGAAAGTCATCTTCATCTGCTTCTGGCAACTTTGACACATTGGCATGAAATTCAAAATATAAATATGATGAACCAAAAGAAGAAAAATAAAAAAAAATGATTCTCTTTCTTTTTTGGTTTTCTAATTTTTCTGGATTCTAACTTGTTTTGGCTAGATTTTTTGAATTCTATTTTTTTAGGTTTTCTACAAAAATATGGATTCTATTTTCTTTAGGATTTTCTAAATTGTCTGGAGCCTATTTTTCTTTGATTTCCTGAATTTTCTGGATTCTATTGTTTTTTGTTTTTATATTTTTTCTGGATTCTATTTTTTTTTAATTTCTGAATTTTCTGGATTCTGGATTTTCTATTTTTTCCAGATTCCATTTTTTTTTTGGTTTCTAAATTTTCTGGAATCTAGATTTTTAAGATTTCTGAATTTTCTGGATTCTGAATTTTCTATTTTTTCCAGATTCTTTTTTTTGGTTTCTAAATTTTCTGGAATCTAGATTTTTAAGGTTTCAAATTTTTCTGGCTTCTGAATTTTCTAAATTTTCTAGATTCCAGTTTTTTAGTTTCTAAATTTTCTGTTTTTTTTTAGATAAATTTCTGAATTTTCTGGATTCTGGATTTTCTATGTTTTCCAGATTCTATTTTTTTGCGGATTTTGAATTTTCTGGTTTTCTGATTTTTTTGAATTTTCTGAATTCTGAATTTTCTGAATTTTCTGAATTATATATATATATATAAATTTATATATAAATTCTGAATTTTCTGAATTTTCTGAATTTCTGAATTTTCTGAATTTTCTGAATTTCTGAAATTTCTGAAAATTCTGAATTTCTAAATTTTTGAAATTTTCTGAGTTTTCTGAATTTTCTGGATTCTGAATTTTCTAGATTCCTTTTTTTTGGTTTCTAAATTTCTGGAATCTAGATTTTTAAGATTTCTGAATTTTCTGGATTCTGAATTTTCTAGATTCATTTTTTTGGTTTCTAAATTTTCTGAAATCAAGATTTTTAAGATTTCTGAATTTTCTGGATTCTGGATTTTCTATTTTTTCCAGATTCCTTTTTTGGTTTCTAAATCTTCTGGAATCTAGATTTTTAAGATTTCTGAATTTTCTGGATTCTGAATTTTCTGAATTTTTGGGTTTTCTGAATTTTCTGAATTTTCCAGAAACTATTCAATACAGAAACTGTCAATTCCTTAAATTATATTTTCCAGAAACTGTTCACTACAGAAACTGTTTTGTCCTTAAATTATATTTTCTAGAAACTGTTCACTACAGAAACTGTTCTTTCCTTAAATTATATTTAACACAGGAAGTTTTCACTACATAAACTGTCCTTTCCTAACAGTATACCTTACAGAAACTACTCACTACAGAAACTGTCCTTTCCTTAAATTATATTTTCCAGAAACTGTTCACTACAGAAACTGTTTTGTCCTTAAATTATATTTCACAGGAAGTTTTCATTACATAAACTGTCCTTTCCTAACAGTATACCTTACAGAAACTATTCACTACAGAAACTGTCCTTTCCTTAAATTATATTTTCCAGAAACTGTTCACTACAGAAACTGTTTTGTCCTTAAACTATATTTCACAGGAAGTTTTCACTACAGAAACTGTCCTTTCCTTAAATTATATTTCATAGGGGGTTTTCATTATAGAAACTAACCTTTCCTTAAGTTATATTCATCAGAAACGGTTCACTACAGAAACTGTCCTTTCCTGACAGTATACCTTACAGAAACTGTTCACTACAGAAATTGTCCTTTCCTTAAATTATATTTCACAGGAAGTTTTCAATATAGAAACTGTCCTTTCCTTAAATTATATTTCCCAGAAACTGTTCACTACAGAAACTGTCCTTTCCTGACAGTATACCTTACAGAAACTGTTCACTACAGAAATTGTCCTTTCCTTAAATTATATTTCACAGGAAGTTTTCAATATAGAAACTGTCCTTTCCTTAAATTATATTTCCCAGAAACTGTTCACTACAGAAAGTGTCCTTTCCTGACAGCATACCTTTCCTGAAAGAAAGACAAAACATATCATTTATTCCAAAGGAAAAAAACCGACGGCTAATTTCAAAAAACGTATAAAAGAAAAATACATCGTCTATAATCAAATCTGATCCTAAAAAAATAAGTGAAAATAAGTGAAAATAAGTGAAAATAAGTGAAAATTAGTCAAAATAAGGAAAAATCACTTCTATGATAAGTTCATATAACTACTAATATCTTCATTAAGTGCCTAAAGTGAAAATATCTGCATTTTGTGGTCTTAGCATGTGAGACGTTCTCTGCTGCCAGAAACATCAAGTTAGCAGATGAAAGCGGCCCTCGGCCGCTCCGGACTCGTGAAGCTCCGTGGTGCCTCCACAACCGAACCCCGCGAGAGCTGCGTCAGGTTGACACCGGCACCGAGCTCATGTTCAACTCTCTGCAGGTCGAGGTTTCCGTTGCACAAGCTGGTGGAGGCAGTTTGATGGAACACCCAGCGGAACCACAAGCGGATGAGAAAGTCTCAGTGTGGAGGCTTCAATGCCACACCGATTGGTGCATGAGGATCCGGGAAGCTTGCCAACACAGGGTTGACCAATGGCTCTATGGAGCCGTTGGCGTCAAGCCCACAACGCTCCGTGCTCTTCATCTAGGCCCCCCGGAAGTGGTTGGCCGTGCTTTGATCGACGGAGCTGAACCATGGCGCACCCGGCCGACTTGCGGCCTACGAGGACGCGGATCTGATGGACGTTTCCTGACTGCACGGGCAAAGGAATATCCCAGCGCCCTGTGCAGGAGCATCCTGGTGGCAGTCCTGAAAGGGCTACGTCACAGGATTCACCGTGATGGTGTCGCGGAAATTTTTTCCCCAGATCATGCGCAGCTGAATTGGCTCACGCATATGTGCAGTCAATCTGAGGCCTTTACTCTGCAGTCATATCTGCCTGACTATCAGAGAGCATAAGGCCTGAATTTGTTTTGTCTGCATGCCCGCGCGAGGAGACTCCAAGCGGCGGAATGGAATGGAACATTAATATCCCAGACCTTTGATGACCTGGCTGTATCTTTGGGGAGATATGTTGGATCCCAGGAGATCCCGAGAGGATCTCTGACAATGCCAGCTGGCGGCGTTTTTCAAAAACGTTGATGTAAAAATTCTCGAGGCAAAACATGTGAAACACATTTCGAACAAAATGCCAATTTCGATTTTTTCGACCTCAATGGAAGACTTGTTGTAGAATCCAAGGTATGTTTCGATGGTTTGATAGTATGCATTGATGTTGCTTGTGCTTGCGACTTTCTTGGGATATGTGCATTGCTGTTACATACATGCACATGCATACATCCATGCGTCCATCGATCAATCCATACATACATTCATACATACATACAATCATACTATATATATATATATATCAACTGCGAAGATTATTCTTAAACATTTTTATGGAATAAGTTACTCTGTTGTTACAATGTTTTCGTGTTTTTGACTAGATGCCTATGTATCTTGCTGAAATCTCCATTCCCATCTTGCTTCCAACTTCGAACTCCACCATGGATTTGGACGTTAATTATCCAAAATTCATGGAGTTTCACCTCCAGCATGTCCCATCATTTTTGCATGGCTACAATGGCTAATCATTTTGTTGGGAAGTAACACTCCATCTTTTGGAGATGTAAGTTTCATTCCCCCTGAGGCTAAAGATCCAATATTTTCAAGTAAAGTGATTTTTCCACTTTTGAAAAATGGTCAAAACCACATCGTTGCACCTATGGCCATGGGATGAAATAATTCCTGCAACTAGCTGCTTATATCTCTCTTAGATCAGTTTTTACTTGGCCAGTTACAACTCTGTGTAGTTTTGTTTATACATCATTATACATCCCACTATGGTTGTACAGTTATACATAATTGTACTATGTTATACTTACCATAAACAGCAGTTGTTGGACTTACCCTCCGGTAATTTAACAGTCTGCTATTGAAAATGGCCCATAGAAATAGTAGATTTACCTATTCAAAATTGTGATTTTCCATAGCAAACTGTGAGTTTACCAGAGGGTATCCTATTTAAAAAAAACTGTTAATTGGTCCATTATCCATTATTAACCATTCTGAACCATTATTAACCTTTATCAACCATTATCAACCACTATCAACCATGATTAACACTATTAACCACTATTAACCATCATCTCTCCAGCATATCTCCGTTATTAAACCTTAATCCAACCTTGCTTTCGGGCGAGAACTCTGGGCTTCGCCAACCGCGGATGGCCGGATGGCTATCCCCTGCCTCACGTTCCAACTGCTGCGCCCGGCCCAGGGTCGTTCGTTCTTCGCCCTAAGACACCAGTGGGCTGGAAGAGAAACATATATATATATATACATACATACATATATTATATACCCTCTGGTACACTAACATAACTATGGAAAATCACCATGTTTAATGGGTAAATCCACGAACTAAATCACCATTTTCAATAGCGAACTGTTACTTTACCAGACATTACATTTGTTTTATAACCCCATGTAACTATAGTCATAAATGTCATAAGTACCATAAACACTAGTTATTGTAGTTGTAAACCAACTTTGCTATCTTGGGGGGCCCACATTGTATATATATAGTTATACATATTTTGCATACATATATAAATATATATGTGCATGGTATATGTTTATTATACATATATATATGCTAGTATTTTATATCATATCAAAAAAAACACACATATATATATGTATTATATGTAACCTTATGGATCCTAATGGGATATAAAACCAACTTGACATGATTTTGTTGCGGATTATCCTCTGGTGATCATATGATCGGTTCGGGGATTTCCGCCATGTTTGATGACAGGAGAATATGATAAGCATGGCCAATCAGCCAGATACCCTGCAAAAAAAATCTTAGCTGGTGAACGTAGATAATCCCATTGATACCAAAAGACTATTTTGGATTCAAGTATCCATCCAAGATTGACCTAGTAATGTATCATCTGGCCAAGTGATGCTCATAGTTTTGCTCTTTCTTCGCAGTAGGCTAGGCCACAGTCCATCGAATGTGTACCTAAGGAATGTCCCAAGCTCTTTTGGGAGCGTTGCTCTTTTGGCAAAATGAAAGAACACTAATATCTGTTGACATTCTGGGTTACAGCATCATACTCGAGTTGGATGTGCATCCAAAAAATGGTAAAAGCTCCAGAACCAACTAATATATATATATATAATCCATATATAACCTGTGTATATATATATAATATAGTTTTAAAACATACATAAATACATTAAACAACATAAATAAATAAATAAATAAAAATAAATAAATAATATATATATATACCATCTATCGCCCATATGGGTTCTTACACAGTTATGATGCTGAGGATACACATCCATCCAAGCAGCAAATTGCACCATCTCGGGCACAAGTTGACCGGCAATCTAGGTAGCTAGGTTGGCCAACTATACTAGTGAACTATGGTGGATGCTTATGGCAGATGTCAATGAGGTTAGATCTATGGATATCTATGGCAAATTACCTATACTGGTTGGTGGTATACCTACCCGGACCTACCCCTCTGAAAAATATGAAAGTCAGTTGGGATGATGAAATTCCCAATATATGGAAAATTAAAAAATGTTCCAAACCACCAACCAGACCTATATATTTAGGTTCACGGTGGCATCTATGGGCTGAATCTAAGCCAACCGAGGCATGACCCCAACATTCCGACGTCTCCTGCAACTCGATGATCTCTCCCTGGATGCGTTGACCTTGACACAACGTAGATGGAGATATGATATGATGGAGATATGCTGGAGATACGGTGGTTCAAAGTGGTTAGTAATGGTTGATAATGGTAAATACAATGGAGGTTTCCAAAGTCATAGGGGATCCCAGTCATCCAGTCGTCATGGATGACCGGCTTGTGGAAACCCCAAGAGCTGGATGGTGATCCCATCTCCATATGTACAGCTTGGGTCACCTTAAGAAAAGGGCTTGATTCCCCATGATGTGTTAGAAAATGCCATTGAAGAAAACAATGGAAACACCCCATGTGTAGATCTTCCCTGATTCCTGAAAGCATTTTTGGGGAAACCCCCATCCTTGTCCCCCAGAAACCAACGGCTGTCCATCCCACACCGCGTCGTGCAGATGCACAGAAATTGCTTCGTTTATGACGGATCATGACGGATCATGACGGATCAATAAACAAGTATAAACTACCGAACTTAGGTTGACCCGCATACCGGATGTTGGATTTGAAGCAACAATCTACTGAGAAGCTCTTAAATAGATTGTGATTCGCAGAACTCACATGAAAAATAGATTCGAAGTGGGATAATTTTGCGGAAAACAATTGATTCATGATTGTTAATAGCTATGGCAGCTATGGGTCATACCCTCGTTCCCTTCTGTTAACATCCCCCAAAAATGGTACCAATCGGATGTTTATCTCAAAATATGGTAACATTTGGAAGATGACCCGTCCCAAAAAACAAACCACAGCTTTTATGGTTTCCAAGTTTCACCGAAAAGATGAAATCACCAAGCAGTTCTACAGAAAAATCACTTCTTGTAGACAAAAAAGAAAAACATACCCTCTGGTATTTTGTTGCATAACTATTGAAAATAAACCGTTTAGTTTGTTGATTTACCTATTCAAAATGGTGATACTCTATAGCAAACTGTGAGTTTACCACAGGGTAAACACAAACCTGGTTGGTGGTTTCGACCTCTTCAGTATTCGTCGATCAGGATCATCATGTTTCATCCCCGGCAAATTAGAACAATTCGGAACGACCAGAAATCCATTGTTCCAGTCGGCTTTGTCTACAGATAAGCTACCCCATGGTACCCCTAAATCTGGTTATATCTGGTTGATTTTTATTTTTTCCCCCAAAACAGTGAAAACTTTTGTATCGTTTCGCTTCAGTCGTTGTCCTCGGGCGCGCGAATCGAAGGGGAAACTGTTTTAAATGCCATCTATGGCACGGTCGACGCACGTGACGTATTCACAACATCCCTTCAATCACCTCGTGTTTCGCAGACGCATAAATAAACCATTTTAGGGGATGATCCCCCCTACAGTACTTTTCCAACTGTTTACAATGAGGTCAACCTCTCACTGGTTCTATCAATACCATATGGCTTTGAGTCGAAACCCGTGGAATCCCCTTCTGTTCACGTCACAAGGGATTTGAATGATGATTTGGGTCTATGTTCATAGTTCACCCATATCATGAACATAGATCCAAATCATCATAAATCCCTTGTGTTCTATTTAGGTGGATCATCATATACGGTGCCCTGTGTGATCCACCTAAAGATGGTTCAAAATCATCAGTGATGCCTCGTTGTGAAACGCATCGTACGGCACGTTGTCGACCTTCAATAAGTGCAAAAGGCGCGTTGTGAAACAGTGAAACGAGAGAAACGCGCTCAGTTTAGGCGGCCAACCATGAAGGAATCAAATCTGTACACAAAAAATAATATATATATATATAAATGTTTCCGGGAAATATAAATTATATAAGATAAATAGTATAACATACATTTAAACAAATGAAAAAAAACATGTGTATATATATATATAAATACACTATAGTGAATAGTAAACAGATTTAGGGATATATATATATATATGTAATATAATATTATTAAAATAATATACTTTTAAACAAAAAACATACATATATATATATATAAAACATACAAAATACGAAACACAAATAATATAAACAATATAAACAATGAACAATAATATATATATATATATATTATTATTATATCATATAATATGACATAATATTAGTTTATATAATGTCTTTACTTTATATTATAATATAGTTTATTATATTATATTAAACTGTATGTATTATTTGATATTAAATGTACTATGTAAAAAATGACAAATATCGAAGATGTAAAATAAATATTTAATGTACAA